GAGACCGTTCATCTCCTCTGTTCTTTTTTTCTTTCTTTTTTATAACTAAAAATGAAAATGTGGTGATTGGGTCAATTTGAGCTTGAGCCGTGAGTTCATAGTTTCATTGAGGGTGAAACCCTTTTTCTTTGTTTTGTTTAGCAATTAAAATTCTGATGATCAGTTCTTTTTTTTTAATGTCCCTTGTATGATTGGTGGATTTTTTTTCTTCTTTAAACCAAAATAAAGATAAAGATAGATTCGTGAAAAATCTTTTCATTCAATAATTTTCCCACGTCATGAAACCCTTTTGGAGGTGCTTATACAACAAAAGGACTGAGGGAGAGATGACCGGAGAGACGACCAAACCGAGATCAGTCGGAGACGGAAGAGATGGAGAAACAAAAGGATTGACCTTTTTTTTTTAGGGTTTTAGTCCAGTTTCACGCAAGGGGAAATAATTGGGATTTTAGATTTAATATATCCTCCAAAATATTAAAAAAAAAACATCCACCACAGGCCGATGGCGTGGTGAATTTTCAAAAGGCGGTGTGGTCGTTTGAAGTAACCACAACAAGCATATTGCGTGGTGGTTTTGATATTCCATCACGGGATTAAAAACCGTTGTAGATTATTCACTTTTAACAATGGGCCAGAATTTGACCATGGTGAATTAATGTTATTTACCACAAGCTATATTTGACCGTGGTAATTGAATAGTTTCCACCACGAGTTGTTGATGCCCGTGATGGAATTGATGTGGTAAATATGCTGTTATGTACTAGTGGAGTCTGACTCAACCTCCACCTCCGTGCACCCTAACTCAATACAGACTTGTAAAGCCGCGCGAATTGCAACTGCTTCTGCCATCACCGGAGTATTAAAGATCAGGCCACCTTCCCCATCAACCGCTTGCAACAACCTCGCAAAGTCTCTCAGTACCTACCCATAGCCACCCTTGAATGTCTTCCCACACCAAGCCGCATCACAATTAATCTTTAACACCCCAAAAGCTGGTCTCTTCCACCGTACCTGTTGACTCGCAAAGCTTGTATTCCCCCCAGCCGCAGCACCACCAGTAACAGCCTTCTTCACGTCGTGGCATGCACACGAAGTTCAACTACTTGCTGCCTGACTACATCAATCATCTTCATGGGATTTGCGGACACACCTTTAAAGACCATGTCATTGCGGCACTTCCAGATTCTCCACATAAGATAAATACCTTCCTGCAATAACTCATCTTGCCTATCATTATCATGGAACCAATCACACAGTCTCATCTAGTGCTCTCGAAAATCTCGTCCTTTCAAAGCCACAATGTCAAGCTGCAGTGAACAGCAGTACCACATCACCCAACTGAACTCACAATCGAAGAACAAATGGTGCTCCTTCTCCTCCGCTTCACCACACATCATACACCTACCATCCACCTGCATTCGCCGCCGAATGAGATTAACTCTCACAACTAAAGAACCACTACAACATCGCCAGATAAAGAACTTCAACTTATTCGGCACCGCCAATCTCCATATGTCCTTCCAGCAACAATCAACCATATCCCGGTGACTGCTCCCCCCCCGTCCCCTGCCTACCAAACTCGCCATTTTCCTGCATCTCCATGGCAACTCCATATCCCGTTCGCACTGTATATTCCCCATTCTTAGCATAATGCCATATTACTCTATCCCCACATCCCACTAAACTTACAGGCAACCCAAGTATAAGCTTACTCTCCTCCTCGTCAAACATCTCCGAATCTATGATGCATGGACATGGACACGGATACACGGATACGATACGATATTACACGGGGATATGTCAAATTTCTAAAAACGAAGACACGATACGGCAAAGATACGGCAATTAAAAATAATATAAATAAATGAATATATCTAAATATTATAAAATAAGAATTCAAATTTACTATTCAAGTTCAAATTTATTTCGATAAACTTCAAACATTTAAATAGATAATTCACTAAACAACTAAATTAGTCTTCATTAGTAACCTTGTTGCAAGAGACTATCCCATTTCTAGACATTTTTAACAAATGAAACTTGACCTAGAGTAGGATCCTCTAAAAATCTTTTGACATACTTCCACCTTGTACCATGATAATTTTCAACATTCTCAACTGGGTTAACATAGCATTTGCATGACTATCAGGATGATTCATTTTCCTAAATTATCAACATGTATATCATAAGCATCAATCCAAAGTAATCGCATAAAATCTCACAAGTCAAATTTATGCTAAGAGATCAACAAAACAACATAAAAGCATATATAAATATATTATAATCTAAATTATTCTAGATCACTGCAATAATATTATTATAATATGCAAACGAAAAAGCAAAAAGAGCTTTTCGTTTGGCTTCAGAAAGCAAAAAGGGACTCTAATTAGTAAAGTTGAGGTATCAGAGCAGAAAACCATCAACATTATTAACAAAAAGAAAAAGAAGGCTTCAGGAAAGCATAGAATTCGAAACCCAGTTACCAGTTCTCACCAGCAGATGCATAAGATACAATGCAGCACTTGCAAACGGAGACAATGGAAGCAGTTGCTGATGAAGGTTCTGAGGTTTGAGTGAGGAAAAACAGGTAGATCTGAATTTTATACACAAAATCGTTTCGATTTTTGGTTAAAGAATCATTTCGGTCCAGCTAATCTCAATCAACTGTTAATTAACACAATTATGTGCGGATTAAGTGTAATTATTTTGATTTTTTTGTTGTGATTATCCTCTAATTATAGTTTGAAACGTATCTGAAACGTAGGATACTCGTATCCCAACAGTAAGATACACGTATCCCATCAGTCAACAACGTATCTATTGACTTGGATACGTATCGATCACGTATCCGTACATATCCCCCCACGTATCTGTATCCCCGCGTGTTAGATACGAGATACGTTGGTCTTCCCGCGTGTCCATGCATCATAGCTCTGAATTAACTAACCCTTCCACGCTCCCCCTGCAGGTTCAATCAAATCATTCACCATTATGGGCATGTCAATGTGCTTCGATCTCACTTTATAAGTATGTGGCCTTGTTAGCCAAGGGTTATGGGCTATACGGATACTCCTTCCATCACCCACCCACCTGCCAACGCATACCTCTCTCCAAAATCCTTCTCCCCTAAATAATCCCTTTCCATCCCCAGGAGGAACGTCTCCCCAATGTAGCCTCCATAAACGATCTATCCGGAAAGTATTTTTCTTTAAGAATTTTGCCCAACAAAGTATCCGGATTATGTAAAAGTCTCCATCCATTCTTTGCTAGATAAGCAATGTTAAAAGCCAATAAGTCTCTAAAATCAAGTCCTCCATACCTCTTTTGACGTTTCATTTTCTTCCAAGATATCCAATGCATACCACCTCTATCTTTATTCCACCTCCACCAAAACTTAGCTAGAGCAGATTCTAATTCCTTACAAAGGCTCATTGGAAGCTTAAAACACGACATTGCATAGTTTGGTAAAGCCATAGCCACCACTTTTATTAGAACGTCTTTTCCTGATAATGACATAAACTGCTCGGCCCACCCATTGATTCGCCCTTCCAATGCTTCCCGTGTAAGACTAACCTTATCAAAAATATAAGTTAAGAGATTAAGCTCAAGAACCACAAATTTATACAAGTATTAAAATCACAATTCGATAAACACAATGATAAACTAACCTGTAAAAATAGTAGTAGAAGAAGTCAAAGCCGACTTCTAAACAGTGCGCCTTCTCCTCTCTTGCAAAACCAAAAGTACTCAAACTAACAATAGGTCTTAGTTCAATATTGAGCGTATGTTTTGTGAGAGCAGTGACTTATGTTTTTATACTAAACATAGATTGCCCTATTACAATCCTACAAGGAATACAAGACCAAATCCTTGTATAAGTATGAGTTCTATTTTCGAGCCAACAGTAGAGTTTCAATCCAAACCAAAGTTGAATTAACTCTTATAAACACATTAAAACCTCTTTATACCAATCTGAAATAACAATGATTATTACTGAACTGTGAGAATCACACTCATACTCTAACATCTCGAACACCCTCAAACACCACCTTCTTGGATGAACCAAAGTCATCTTGACCCTTAATATTAGTACAAAGAGCAATTTTCTTCCGCCGTTGCTGCCCACAATTAGCCCCAAAATATAAGGAACTATTCTCCCTATTAATCACTTGCCCAGAGGCTTCTACATAACACCATAATACATCCATATCCTCCTAAACCTCGGTCTCCTCCGCCTGACAGAAAACTACAACATCATTGGCAAAGAACAAATGAGATACGGATAACCCACTAGGTACCACTCGAACTCCTTGCAATGCACCCCGCTCCTCCCTAAGTCGAAGCAAAGCCGAGAACCCCTCGGCATAAATCAAGAACAGAAACGGTGACATAGGGTTTCCTTGCCGCAACCCTCTTTGTGTTTGAATGAACCCAGTGGATGCACCATTGATTAGCACACTATAAGTGACAGTAGTAATACACTCCTCTATTCTCTGACAATACTTAGGAGGAAAGCCCAAAGCACCCATCATTGCCAACAAAAAACTCCACTCCACTCGATCATAAGTCTTCGCCATATCCAACTTCATAGTTAGGGAAACTTCATCACCATCACTTTGTTGATTAGCATACTACTACAAAATTATCTATAACTGGCGGTCCAAAAACCGACAAAAAACATATATTACTGTCGGATTTTAAGCAAAATTCGACAGAAAATGGATGCAATGACGGATATAATAAGCGACAGAATTGCAAGCGTCAAGAAATGAAATTTCTGACAGAAAATACTTTAAACCGACAAAAATTGTGTCGGATATAACGGACAGAAAATATATTAATAATAAATAAATAAGAGCATTTATGTCAACTAAAACCGACAGAAAATACCAAAACCGACAGAACTTGTGTCGGATATATCCGACGGAGAATTAAGAATAAATAAAAGCATTAATAATAAAAAAATATATTGAAAATATCAAACCTCACTGAACTGATTTGCGGCAAGCAATACGAGCTTTTCTGAGACTTGCTTCCGTCTTCAGTTCCATATCCACGCCATTGACAGATGATGCCAGGACTCCAAGCTCATCAAATACTTGTTGGGCAAACTTCAAATGTCCTCTAAATGATATTTGGCAAGATCATGACCGACATAGACACAAAAATTACTGTATATGATCACGATATTCATGAAATAGGCACATGGTAAACTTACCTATGTAAAGCACGCTCAAGGAGCAGCTGAAGTTTCAGTAACAAAATTCTTGATTTTGAGATGGATAAAAACTTCTATGCAGTTATTTTAAGAGCAGCAAAAGCCTCTAAACAAGGAGAAAAAAAATGCTAGTCATCAAGGATGAACGGCATTTGTTTATGCGATGAACATGAGAGGGAGATAGAGTATTCGAACCCTAAATTAATATGGCAGCATCTATGAAAAAAATATATTCTTTTTAGGTACTCAAGCATTTTATCTAACCTTTGTATCCTTTATAAACGGCTAGATGTTGGATGAGCTTCAGATATGCTAATGCTGTGTCAGATGAACTAAGGACATCCATGAAATAGTCAGGCTCAAGTTATAAAAATGGAAAGGAATATAAAAAATATGAAAATCCTGTGATACTTTCAGTTAAAAATTACCTTGAAACATCAGGAAAACAAGTTGCATGAACAAGTGCATTAAATCTGGCAAGAGAGGAGCTGAGAATGAGAGGGAAATGAGGAGAGGAGAAAAGGGGGAAGGGAGAAGGCACCGGTGCAAGGAAGAGATGAAGGGGTTTTATTCTGGAAAATTTCATTATTGTCGGTTAAAACCGACAGAAATATTTTTTAAAATATAAAGCTGACAGAAACATTTTCATTACTGTCGGTTATAACCGACAGCAAAAAAAAGACGGCAAAATTTGCCCAACATTCCCTCTCAAAATTTTAATTTCCCCCCAAAATTTTGTTACAATTTAAAAAAATAAAATAATAATTGTTTGGTTTAATAAATAAATAAATAATATGCATTTAAATAGAATACATTTTTAAAAATTAAATAAATAATTGTTTGGTTTAATAGATAATAATCCATGTAAAATATGCAATAAAGAAACAAAAAGATAATTGTACAATGAAAATGTCATCACACAAACTAAATATTGTCTAATCAATACTTGAAAAACATAAATAAAAATTTAGCACAAAATACTTTTCCCACTTAAAATTTAGGCAAATTTAACGGAGATATGCATTCTACAAAACTAGTTTCAATGACCAAATTGTCACACTTGTTTGTAGATAATACAAGATCACATACGTAAAAAATCGTAAAAAACAAACATTCAAAGATTACGTAACGGAACAAAAGTTCTAGACGGTTATAAACGAAAAATCACAATTTAACAGTTATTTTAGCTCCAATTTTAATGATTTTTTACAGCTACATTCCTCGACCCTATAAGAATGCAATGAATAAATTTGATCTTCAATTTAAAATATTTACACTAGTGGATACCACAAATCTTACTTTATATTTGATGGAAGTATAATATTAACTCTAAGTATTTGTTTAATCTACCATTTTGACGCGATATGCATTCTACGAAACTTTTTTCAACGATCCAACCGTCAAACTTATTTGTACATACTGCGAGATTGCATACGTAAAAAATTGTAAAAAACAAACATTTAGAGATTACGTAATAGAATAAATGTTTCGACGGTTATAAACGAAAAATCACAATTTAACGGTTATTTTAGCTTCGATTTTAATGATTTTTTACAACTACACTCCTCGACCCTATAAGAATGTAATGAATAAATTTGATCTTCAATTTAAAATATTTACATAAGTGGATACCACAAAATCTTATTTTATACTTAATGGAGGTATAACATTAACTCTTAAGTGTTTATTTAATCTACCATTTTGACGCGATACACATTCTACGAAACTTTTTTCAATGATCTAACCGTCAAACTTGTTTGTACACACTCCGAGATCACATACGTAAAAAATAAAAAAAAACAAACATTTAGAGATTAGGTAACGGAACAAAAGTTTTCGATGGTTGTAAACGAAAATCATAATGAACGTTTATTTTAGCTCCGATTTTGATGATTTTTTACAACTACACTCCTCGACCCTATAAGAATGTAATGAGTGAATTCGATCTTCAATTTAAAATATTTACAATAGTGGATAATGTTTGTTAAATATATCAATTTGATAGGATATGCATTCTACGAAACTAGTTTCAACGATCCAACCGTCAGATATGTTTGTATATACTCCAAAATAGCATGTGTAAAAAATCGTAAAAAAAAAAACATTCAGAGATTATTCTGGCGGCCATCCAAAATTTTGCTTTGTTCGTATCGGTTATATCCGATAGGGCCATGAGTGAAAAAAAATAATATTTAAACCATGTGTTTATTTATTTATTTTTAATCAATATAACATTTTAAAATAAATAAAATCAGACATAATAGAGTACATCAAATGTTCATTTGTGTTTATGTGCCAGACAATGTGTTTTGTGACGCATTGAAAAAAATTGTTTGAATTTCTTTGTATCTTGTTGCTTGCCTGTGAGGGAGCATAATCCTTATTACAAAAATGATAGAGCTTCAGATTGTAGTATGTTGTTATTATTCTCTCAGAAAATTAATGGCTCGTGGGAGTTGGATTCATTAGACTTTAGGGTCATGAGTGAAAAATAAATAAATTAAAATATGTGTTTATTTTTTATTTTTAATCAATATAACATATTAAAATAATAAAATTTTCATTTATGTCTGTTATAACCGCCAGAATACTAAAATAATAACTGTCAGAAAGTAAAATAATAAAATAGTCAATTTCTATCGGTTATAACCGCTACCATGAACTTAAAAACCGCCATAATCTTCAAAAAAATATTTTTAAAAAAAGATTCAAAAATACTGTCGGTTATAACTGACAAGATTTTTTTTATATCCGCCAGAGCTTTATGTCAAATATAACAGACAAGATTTTTCTAATATCCGACACTAATTAAATGATGTGTCGGATATATTTTATCCGACAAGATTTTTCTAATATCCGCCACTATCATCCGTCATCAAAATTAAGCTATTTTGTGAATTAAACCAATTCGAGGTTTAAACCCGATTATGAACTTCTCCTACTTATATTCTTATAAACCTAATCACATTTCTTTTTTGGTTCATAGCCTAAGACCATTTTATTAAGGGGATTACCGATTGCGGTCCATTTGGTCCAGTGATAATGGGTGAAGTCCATATACAATTATATAATGATAATTGAGGTCCACTACATTAAAACATGTCATATGTGGATTATTTATTGGGTTACCTTGTTGCTTGAAATTTCACCCACTGCCATTCTCCAAAGAAAGGCATCTCTCTCTCTCTCTCTCTCTCTCTCTCTCTCTCTCTCTCTCTCTCTCTCTCTCTCTCTCTCTCTCTCTCTCTCTCTCCCCCTTTCCCTCTCTCCTTCATAGTTAATTGGAAGCTGTTGGAAGCAGCCGGTTTTGACAAAAGGCTTGGGGAGTTTCATACAGATCAAATGTTTTTTTTTTATTATAGTCAACATCTTCAGTAAGTAAACTGGGGTTTTGTTTGATTCGAGTTCATTATCCCAATCTGTATTGCAGGTTTATTTAGATTAAATAAACGTATTGTGTAGGTAAATGTGTATGAATCAACCTGTGTTGTAGGTTAGTAGTCTAAATAAACCTATGTTGTAGATTAGTAACTTAGTGTTGTTAATAAACCCATGTTGTGGGTTCATTTGATTTGTTAACCTAAAAATAAGAGTCCTTAGATTTGTTAATAAACCTGATGGATTGCAAGTATTACCAAATCTATGATGTAGATTAAGCCCCTTTAATTTGCCTTGGTTGCACGTTTGTAGATGTGACAAACCTTTCAACTAAGTCGTTTGTTTATTGTTTTGATCTTCACCTCGTAAACCTTTTAACCTTTTAACTTATTGGTGTTAATAAACCCATGTTGTAGGTTCATTAGATTTGTTATCCTAAAATAAGGTTCATCAGATTTGTTAATAAACATGATGAGTCCCAAGTAAAGGTTGCAAGTTTGGTCATGCGTGTGCTGGTTAGGAGCTGTGGTTCTTCTAAAAATGGCAGCTTATTAAAAAACGATTGTCAATGACAGTACAAAAGCAGAAGCAGTGTCTACTATGCTTCTAAAAAAAGTGTTATTCTTTCTTTCAAAAGCATAGTGAATAGTGTCAATTTAATGAAATTTTCAAATGATAAGTATACCCTGCATATTTTACAAAATTATAATCTTTGCTCCTGCATTATTCTCTTTGGTAATTATAAAATCACATCCAATACCCTATTATTTTTAGTCATTTAACATATTCACAACAGTTTTATGCAAAAGTTTACTAAACACTCAAACACTGTTTTTATTTTATTTTTTTAAAAGCACTTTTACCAAAAAGAAAAAAAAAAAACTTATCAAACACTCAACAAGTTTATTTTACAGATGTTTATTCTCATAGCACATCAAAAATAGTTTTTTATTTTTTTTAAAAGCACATTAATACGAAACTAGCTCAACATCTGGTAGAGAGTTTGGATTTGTTGCTTATGTCAATCAAAAGTTATATGAGGTAAATTAAAAACTGAAATAGACATACCTATTAAGTGTCACCGTTACAAATAATTATCATTTTGGAGTCCTAAACAACTCAGGGACATAATTAGGCCGACTCATCATTTGAAAAATTAAGGATATATTACACTTTACAACCTTAGGTTTTGGGTCTATTACAATCGCATACAACATCTTCAAAATATTTGATTTTCATACCTCACCTGCTATTTTTTTTCAATATAGTACCTCCGTTACATTTTTCATTCATTAATCCGTTAAGAGCTGAAGCGGCTGCCAAATTTGTGACATATGGCAAAAAAAAATTTATTATTCATTTAAAAATAATTAATTAAAGAAAAGTTAAAAAAAAAAAAACAAACAAACCGATAACCCATCTTCTTCCCTGACCCCCCCCCTGCAACCTAAACCCCCCATCCCACCTCACCCCCACCTCCCCCGCAACCCCTCATCCCCTAACCGCAACAGCAACCTCCTCTGTCCAAGGCTGCACCGCTCCTCTCTTGGATTCTCCACCGTGAGCCCACCGCAGTTCTCTCTCTCTGCTCCTCTCCAATGGCAGCCATAACTCACGTCTCCATGAGAGCCTTAACCTCCTTCAAATGGAATGAGTCGGACCCAAGCCCATCGAACCTGCAGCCGCTGCTTTCCCACTACCAGCACCTTCCGTGCCCTCCATTGTTGAAGCACCGGTGCTCCGCCGTGCAATGCCCTTCAAGCCCACCGAGGAACCTAGCAGTGCCAATCTACCATGCCCATCATAAAAAACGTGGGGAAGAAGATGGGTTTTGGGTGTGGTTGGGGGGTTGCGGGCGAGGTGGGGTGGGGGAAGAAGATGGGTTCTGGGTTTTTTTTTTATTTTTAATTTTTTATAATTAATTATTTTTAATGAATAAAAATATATTTTTTGCCACATGGCACAACTGTGGAAGCCACGTTAGCTCTTAATGGGTTTATGGATGAAAAATGTAACAAATATACTATATTGAAATAAAATAGTAGATTAGGTATGAAAGTGAAATGTTTTGAAGATGTTGTATCCAATTGTAATAAATCCCAAACCTAAAATGG